GCTCCTTTAAGTGGCTCAGGGTAGACAGAGACTGCTGCTTGGGAATGGATGGGAGAGTGATCACTGATGCGTTGGGACTGTCGTAAAGTTGAGCAACAGAATAAATGCATCAGTACAATTTTCTCGCATTCAGCAGTTTTGGACTGTATTCTTGTTGCCGTAGGAAATGGGGACTGTGTTTAATTTTGAGAAAGAGGTATGCTGGGGTTCAGGCTGAGGCACTTCTATTACTTCATAGTGGTTACTTCAAAGAAGGGTTAGGGTTAGGGAAGATGGAAGAAGATGGTGCAAAATAGGTGCAACTAAAGAAATGGAAACCTGTTCGTCATTTAAGACCACACTGGATGCCATTCTTTCTCTATCCCTAACTTTGGGAGTTAGTTGGGTGTCTACCACAGGGCCTTCTCTGTGGTTGCACCCATTTATGGAACTCATTCTCAAGGAATATTTGTCTGTTGCTGTCTTTATCCTCACCAGGTGGAGTTTCTTCTGTTTACTTGAGACTTTGGTGCCTGCATGTGTGTGTTCGTCTTGTGCTGTTTGTTTTGTTTAGGCATTTCTATACTGCTTTTCTCCTGAAGAGCCCAAAGTGGAATGTTCAAGCTGAATTAAACAATATAAATCAAATAACCTGCATAAACAAAACAGCATAAACAAAAATAAGTATATCCTGTTGGTGGTATTTTATGGGAAAGTGGACAGAGAGAATTGTGCTTCTCCCTTCCATACTTGGAGAGTACCCCATTATATTGATGGGCAGAAAATTCTATACAAACAGAGAAGAGAGTATTTCACATCAATCGCAATACATTTGTGAGACTCATTGCATTCTGTGGGATGCAGTCTGTCTGCCCAAAGCCCTTCCCGAAATGCTCTTGCTGTGCCTTTCTCTGTCAAATGAGCCCATCTGTCTTTTTTTGCTTTTGACAGTGAGTCCCTGTTTCGGCAGCTCTGTGCTCTCCATTGGTTCTTGGAAGCCTTGACTCTTGAGCCCAATACCACCATGAAGCCTCTGATCACCTGCTGGAATCCAAAGTGAGCTTGGGTGTGACGAGTGGGAACGGTGGTGGTGGTGAGGCTGAGCCTGAAATGGGAGCGGTTGACATGGTAAAATCTCAGAAGGGGGCAGAGCTACGCTTCCATCCTACGTTCAGCATCTTAATTTCATCAGACATTGCCACACACATACAGGCATAGGTTTGGAGCCCTAAGGGTGTTCGATGAAATCTGCCTTCTGCTGCCAATACCACCTTGTATTCTTTTCTGCACTCCTGCAGAACTGAAGGACACTCCTAACCAATGCTCCCTCGAAGCTGTGTCATCTTCTGAGCGAAAACTCTACTTTGTGAGCTACTAGCATTCGAGTTGTGAGTGAGCAATTTGGCTGTTGCATAAATTAGTTTGCTCTGGAGCCATCCTTCCTGAGCTAAGACAGCAATGTGTGAGCCGGAGGCTAAAAAACTGTGAGCTAGCTCACACTAACTCAGCTTAGAGGGAACACAGCCCGTAACCCTACCTGTAGATAGTCCAACTAGGAAAGATTTTTCCATTGCTTCTCAAAGGCACTTGGCATTTGTGCAAAGACAGGCAGCCTAGGTTTCCTGGAGCTGTAAGCACTCTTCTGTACATTCATCAAAGGTCAGAATTGTCTAGGAGTTCTCCAGAGTGTCTCACAGACAAAGGTTTTTCCCAAGAATTTAGATGGTTTTTAGGCTGGAGTTGGCAGGAATTGAACCTAGTACCTTTCTTGCACACAAAGCATGTGCTCTGCCACTGAGCCACAGCTCCTCCCCTGGAAGGAGAAAGGTATTTTATAGATGCTCAGAGCAAAAAGCTCATGCACAGATGTGCTATGCGCATTCAAAAAACGGGCTTTGCCATGAAATATAGTGCCTGTGGCAAACCCCAGAGGAAATCAAGCTGAAAATGGGGTAAAAGCTACCTGTAACAAAAACCCGGCTGGGAAAATGGAAATTGTTCATTTCTTTCCCCTGCCCTTAGGGATTATGGTGGAAGCAGAAATTCCTTCAAGGTGATCAATAAAGAAAAGAATGTGAAGACTCGATGGGAGCACTTCCTCACCCACTCAAAGGTAACCCGGGAAAGCATCATTCAATGAGTTTGTCTTCTTTTGTGTTTTATCTGTTTTGAAAAACGTGGAGTGCATCGTCTCTTACAGATTTTAATTGGTTTAATAGCCGCAACCTCTTCTGAAGGAGTTCTTGGAACTGTAGTTCCCTGTGGGAAGCTGTGTGGAAATCCTCGGCAACCTTGTGCTTTCTCCTCCGGTCTCCTTCTCAGATGTCAGTGTTCCCTACTCCTAGGGCTGGCAGCCATAAAGTGGGCCCTGGAGTTCCTCAGTTCTACGGAGGGAGGAAACGACAGCTCTCAAGGGCAGATTCTGTGGCATCTCATCCCTGCTGAGCTCCCATCCCCCCCCCCCCCAATCTCCAGGAATTTCCCAAGCCAGAGTTGGCAGCCATACCCCCTTCATTTTCAGGGCCACCCCCAGTGAAGCATTGTGCCTGCGCTGATATTTGCATGAATCATGGTTAGCGTCAGACCCAAGTTTGCAATCCGAGTTTGAAGTGGACTCACAAACCTTGGTGAAAACTTTCAGTGGTGATTATTAACGTGGGTTTAGACATAACACTGCTCCCTGGTTAGTTCAGAAAAGAGGGTGGGGAATTCACACACGAGAGGGGAGGAGGAAGGGAAAGGTAGTGCACTTCTATGGCCCATGGTCACAGCTTAAGGTTTTCCCATTTTGGAACTCATACTCCAGCTCACTGCTTCCTGGTGTAGACAAGACTCCAAGCATTCAGGTGGGATGGGTCATTTCAGCAAAGACAGCAGTTGGCCCCCAATCACACCCAGCTTTCAGATTGCACCTCTTCTTGGGAATCAGGCCTTTTGAATCCAAGAGATAACATTTCTGGGTACTGTTTTCTATTTTTGATTTTTTTAAAATTAGTTTCCCTTATTGCTTACTACAGCGGAAGACAGGAGGGCCTGGCGGGATCTGGTCCATGGGGTCGCGAAGAGTCGGACTCGACTGTGCGACTGAACAACAATTGCTTACCACACTGTTACAAGTTTTTAAAAGAAAAAATATACGAAAATAGGTGTTCTTTGTATCATCAGTAATTATAATACTTAGTGTTTATTTAGTGCCTTTCAAGTGTTCAGAATGCTGAGTGACTGTTATTTGAATCATGCTTACAACACCCTTGTAAGCTAGGTAGGTATAATTATCCCCATATTGTAGTGGTGGGGTCGGGGTGGGGGGGGCTGTGTCTAAGAGAGTACTGCCTTGCCTAGACTCACCTAGCAAGTTTGTGACTCCGAAGCAATTTGGATTGGAGACTCCCTGGGGCTCACAGTGGTAGCCACAATAATGAGAACAGCCGGTATTATTGTTTGAGAGAGAGAGAGAGCGAGCGAGAGAGAGGCTTTTAGGTGAAGGGGGCACCTCACATAGTCAGCCACTGCACACCAGTAGGTCTTTCCTGTGAAAAACAGCCCTTGACCCAGATGCACAACAGACCACCCTCTGGATGCTTCCCTAGGGCTTTCCGTTGTTTCTTCCAGGGTAGAAGATACACCCAGAAAGCATTCCGTGGGCTGGGCCCCAAGAAGTTGCCCAAAAAGGCATCCATCATGAGCTTCTCCAAAATGAGCGGGCTGTCCTCCCCACACAGCAAGACCACTCTGGGTAGCACCAGTTCCCTGACGCCCGGCTCCGAAGAGGTGGTCCCACATTCTTCAGATGGTGCCAAGGAAGGCGAAGAGATGGAGTCTAGTTACAGCAAGCCAACTAAGGAAACGAAGGAAGAGGAAGAGCCTATGAGTTACTGTGAGTTCATTACAGCAACCCTGAATGAGCGCTTTTGAACAAGGTCAGGAGATGCGAAGATGCAGCTTCTTGGCAGGGAGTAACTTCCCACGGGGCAAGGCTCGTCCTGACTTTGGGTGGTCATACAGCTCCTCTGTTTCTCTTCCTTTTCCATTGCGGGGTCAGCATAGACATCGCAGCCTTGCTCCCGGAACATTATACAGTCTCCTGTGCAACATTTAAGTCTTGTGTGCTTTTCTCCCCCACTCCTGGTTCAGCACTAAAGTTCTGGGTGAACGAAACTTTCGATGTGGCCAGACTTAAAGGAGCTTTTCCACAGTTTGCCCAAGTCCAACAGTCCATTCCAGACCCGGCAACCGTCTCTGTTGGGCTCAGCACTCTTGTCCATTTCAGTGGGGGAAGGAAAACTGCGAGTGCCTGTGAGTCTGCTCTTTCTCTGCTGCAAGAGGCAAAAGTAGCCCAGAGAATGACCATGGGGCAGAGGGCCTGAGCTGGGCTGATGGTAGGCAAAGCGATCGGGAGGGAAAAGAACTCAGATTGGCAAAAGGGGAGTCCTGAGAGCAGCAGTAAGCAAAGGTCACCCACTAGAAGTTACCTTATATGCCTTTTAAAGGGGGTTGGACGGACGGATGGAGGAGAGGTCTGTCATTGGCTGATTTATATGCCTTTTAAAGTGGGTTGGACAGATGGATGGAGGAGAGGTCTGTCATTGGCTGATAGCTGAACAGGGCCTCTGGGTCCAGAGGCGAAATTCCTCTGATTGTCAGGTGCTGAGGAGCAGTCAGCAGGGCTGGGCTGTAGTCTGCAGGTGCTGTTTGTTGGATTCTCTTGTGGGCAACTGACTTGCAAGCAGGATGCTGGACTAGATGGATCGTTGGTCGGGTCCAGCATGGCTGGTCTTATGTTCTCATGAGTTACAAGCTTTTAAGGGTTGAGCTGTGTCTCCAGGATTGTGTCACACAAAAGGGCAGCAGTGTTTAATTTTTGATAGGGTGTGAGAAGCATGGCCTCTCTGAGAACCTTTGCCCTGGAAGGAAGCCCCTCTTACTTTGGGTATATATATATCTACACTACAAGACTGAAACGAAGTCTGTTCTCCTAGCAACTGTAGTTCTGTAAGGGGAGAATTCTGAGCAGTCTCCCTCAACTACAGTTCCCAGGATTCTTTAGGGGAAAGCCCCGACAGATATGGTGACATAAAATATATAGCGTCACATAAAATATATGCTGAGTATGACAGCCCAGGCTTTCATTGCTCAGTAGTAAGGGGGAAACTCTTTGTACCTGTGCAAAAGTACTTTTCTTTATTACAAAGCAAGGAAGAACACATTTGAAGACATTTATTGTCTTAATCCTCAAATTGCCAGCAGTCTCCTTGCTGCTTTTGTGTCTTTATTCTCTCTGGAAGGTGCATGGCCAAATGGGCATGACTAGCAGAGGGGAGGTGTGGCCAGAAAGACTGAGACCAGTCCAGACCTGCAAGGGATTTGCTCTGCTTAAGCTCCACTTCAGATAGATCGATGAGGCGGCAAAGCCGAAGAAGTGGTGGGCTTGGAAAACACTGATGTTTTCGTATTGTGTTCCTCCCCAGATCTGCAGACATTACTCCAGATGATCCATGAAGACGTGGCAAAGAATTTCAGTAAAGAATATTTGATCTCAAACCCCAAACCGCCCTCGTACGTCACGTAACTGGCTTTCACGGAAACAGAAGTATTCCATTGTTTACAGAGCTCTGTATTTTTTTACCCAGGGGAGAAGCAAGTTACGTCCAGCACCCCAGATATTTGAGGGTTGCTGTATTATTTTCCATTTTGTTTTCCTTTTTTTCCTTTCCATCCTGCTGATTTGCACATGCAGGTATTCATTCCAGGTTGAGTTCGGGACACGGGTGCTGGCCCAGGTCTGTGGGGTGACACTATTGTCACGGGCAGTTTGACAATTACTTGAATGCTGGGAGGGCTCCCTGTAGTCTTAGAAAAGGGTGGCGGCCCCTCAGCCTGCCATTCCCCAGCCAGTGGTAATGCCTCTGCCTCCTCCAGGGAGTCCCAAGGGGGCTGCTCTGCACTATCATACCAATTAATGGGTTTGGGGGAATGTGTTTGCTGCTTGTAAGGACAAAATGGGGGCTTCTTCTCATGTCTTTGGTTGGGGTTCAGGGCTCGGGGCTCTCATCATATGCATGATTCACTTTCCTTGCCTTGCAGCATGCTGAGATCCGAGCCAGACAGTGACATGTCGATCGGGCAAAGGGCTAAAAGGTAGGAGCTCTCCAAAGAGGCCAAGAGGAGTGATGTCATACATGCAGTGATGTGCCAGAGCTGCATGCGACCTCATTCATTGATCCACTTCTTGGGGTTGCAGTTCAGACAAATGCCTTTGCGCACTGCATATAGGATTTATTCTGTGTGAATGTCACAGGAGAACTGCTGGTTCTGCCTCACTGAAGGCACTCTGTAAAATTGTTTCCAGGCCCTTTAAGTACCGTGATCCCAATCCTTTTTAGGGCTTTAAAGGTAATAAACTAGCACTTTATATAGTGCTCATAAGCAAATAGGCAGGCGGTGTAGGCTTTTTACTACCACAGAGGACACCCTTCGTAGCCAGCTTAGGAAAATAAATGATGAAGCTTCTGGTAGTCTTCAGGAGCAACCCCACAAAGGGCAGATGGTGCAGCAGTCCAGTCTGGATATGATCCGAACATGGATAAATAGCTAGATCCTGCTTGTCAGGGCTGGGGGCACCCCGACCCGAGTTGGGCAAAAACCCTGCATACCACAGTGGAGACCTCTCCCTCCATCTGCAGGGCACCAGAACTATGGGGCAGCAGCAAATAGGTTGCTATGAAAGGCAGAGGGAAGCTGGGCTCACCCCACAGGATAGGGGTTTTTTTTGGGGGGGAAGCAAATATGTGAGCCGCTGTTTCAGTGTACATCCTGCTTTACCTTCAGTCACTGCTGAGTGACTCCCTGGCGATGCTCCCTCTAAGCTGTGGAGTCTTGTGAGCAAAAAATTCTACCTTATGAGCTCCTGGCATTAAAGTTGTGAGCGAGTGATTTGGCTACTGCATAAATTAGTCTGCTCTGGAGCTATCCTTCCTGAGCTAAGAAAAAAATGTGTGAGCCAGAGGCTAAAAACCAGTGAGCTAGCTCACACTAACTCAACTTAGAGGGAACACTGCTCCCTGGACTGGACAAGTCACATTCCTGAGACAGTGTCTTGCTTTGTCTTTCTGTTCAGCTCACATTCGTCTTCAAAGGAGGACAGAAACAGCTCTGGAGTAATGAGAGAAGAAACCCCGGTGGAGCAAAGGCCAAAGAGGTCGGGAGCACCTGGGGCCCACAATCTTGGATTGTTCTTTTTTTGGACTCACATTGGGTGCAGCGGTGGGCATGTGGGGAGGGCCGCGAGGGAGGCAGGCACCACTCTGCAGAAGGGACGTGCTGCAAAGAGCTCGATGTCGGATGGGAATGTTTGCCAGTGTGGATGGGGGTGGAAGGAGTCTTCAGCAGGTCGCCTTTGCTCAGTCGGGAATTTCCTGGCAGGCCAGAGTAGCCCAGTTATGCATCCATCACAGCGTCTGGGATGCATTGCCCAAACCAGTGGGGAACTTGCCTGTCAAACAAATTGTTGACTATGATGAGAGGGGTTTTTTTTATTATTAAATTTAAAAAAACAGTTAAAAATAAGAAAGTAGATCCTGATGTTTATGTAGAGCAAACAGGGAGGTGTCAATTTTATGCGCTGCTGACGCTTCTAAGAGGGGCATCCATTTTTCTTGGAGAGAGATGAGAGTTGAACACCCGGCTTGCATCATTAGATGTTGTCAATAGCTTCTTGGTCCTCAACTCAACTCTTTGGAGTTTCATAACTCAGAACATGATAAGGAAGAGACTGGAGGCTAGGGGGAGTGGCATGGAGCTGTACTCCGAAACAGGGAACTCTAGTGTTCCTGAACCTCTACACTAAAGCTGTCCTGTCAGCTCAACTTTGTCCATTGGGGTTTGTCTGGTTTTCTTTTTGCGTAGCATTCCTTAAGAATGTTGTTGGGTTTCTTTGATTTGCTCTCATCACATTCTAGTTCACTGGCAGTGATACTGAGAGAAGATAAAACGACAACAGCAACGTACAAGAAGGAAGACAGCTCAGAACAGCTAGGCAGACCTCACAGGTAGGCACGCACTGACGCAAGAGTCTCTTGCCCTCTTGCCCTCTTGTCAGTCTGATGGGGAGCAGACTCCTCCCACAAACTGTGACATCATCAGGAAGGTGGGACTCACACATGCTCAGAGTATCCATGTGCTTCTGGAGCTCCTGGTAAAAGGAGCCCTAGGATCCAAAGTTAGGATTTCTGCCTATCCCATGAGCAGGGAGAAGGCAGACAATCTAATAAGGGTTTGCTTGCCAACCCATCCTCCAGATGGTGTTGCCATTCACGGTGGAAGTCCCGTGTTTTGATTTCCGTCTCCTGCTTCCTGCTGTGGGAACAAACAGTTCTGCATACTGCAGGCAGTACCAGAATACAGATGGTCCTCTGCTCCCACCTTCCTTGACTGACAGGGGCTACACTGCGGGGAGATCCCTGCTGCTGTGAAAGCCAGTTTTAGTAGATTAGAAGGTGTATACATGGAAAGTTTGTCAAGATTGCAGCGATGGGAAGGACTGGGTGATGGAGGAGTTTGGAGCAGTGCAGGCCATCCTCTTCAACTCTCTCTTTTATTTTTATCCTGCCCTTCCTCCAAGAGCCAGTTTGGTGTAGTGGTTAAGTGCGCAGACACTAATCTGGAAGAACCGGGTTTGATTCCCCACTCCTCCACTTGCAGCTGCTGGATGACCTTGGGCAAGCCATAGTTCTGTCAGAGCTGTCCTTGAAAGGGCAGTTCTGGAAAGAGCTCTCTCAACCCCACCTACCTCACAGAGTGTCCGTTGTAGGGAGGGGAAGGAGTTTGTAAGCTGCTCTGAGACGCTGAGTGAAGGGTGGGGGATAAATCCAATTTCTTCTTCCTCTTCCTTCTCTTTTTCCTCTTCCTCCTCCTCCTCGTCCTCCTCTTCATCCTCTTCCTCTTCTTCTGGTTCACTCTTCCCCCCTCCATTTGATCTGTGAGATAGATTAGGCTGAGGGAAAGTGATAGTTCCAGGGTCACCAATGAGTCTTATGGCAGAGTCACAATTTGAACCCAGATCTCCCTCATCCTTGGCCAGCACTTTCGCCACCACCCCATGCTGGCTCTTACACTGAGCATGTGGGCAGTGATCTACCCTTCTGACTCAGAGCAGCTGTTTTTCCAGAAATGTTTCCGGCATTTTATTTTTCCCGTAAAAAATGTTCCATTCCTAAAGACTTTATTGTTTTATGAAATAAGTAGCAATGAATGGATGCCATCGTCAATACAATATTAGGCAAGTTTCACGGTTTCCAAGTTGCTCAGGAGTCTGTGGGGATGAATGGGGCCTGAGAGATGAATACCCTCAGCCATTATGTCCATCAGATGTAATAGCGGAATTGCTCTCTCCAGATGAAAAAGCTGGACAATAATTAATTTTTTAAAAAAAAATTATTGTCCCTAGAGATTGTATGAGAGTACATGTATGTTTTATCGATCAGTAAATTGCAGTAGGGTGGAGGGGGGGGGATAAAACCACAATTACATAAAATCCGAATTAAAAAATCAAAATTCAAGTTCACCCGATTGGCTGTGCAGGTTGAATTGAAACTGCCACAGCATTTCTTATTTATGTTTCCTATCACGTGGCGGAAGGGATGGAACTAACAAGTAAAGGAAGTGAAGCTACAAGAGACGGACAGTGCAAATGAGCTGCCCTGCAGTGCAGTCCTTAACAGAGTCCCACTCCTCTAAGTCCACATGATTCTGCACTGCCAGTGACCTCCATGGAAGAAAATTATACTCTGTGGAAGCAGATGAGTGGACAGCCACACCCCACAGCATCCCATGCACAGTCCTTTGGTTGCACTCAAATTCATGGCAACAGTTTTCAGTAACTTCAGGGTTTTTCCTTCAATTTAAACCATAAGGAAAGGAAAGGCGATTGTAAGCCACTTTGAGACTCCTTAAAAGGTAGAGAAAAGCAGGGTATAAAACCCTACTGTTTTCCTTCTCCTTGGTCCCAGGTTCCAGTCAAGCACTTTTGCTTCTCCTCTTCCTGGTTTCTCAGCAGATGCTTATATGACCCGGTTGTAGAGATTCCAATCCAAGTTTGTGAGGCTGTGCAAAAGCAGGAGGTGGGGGTGAGTGGGAGGGATTGCTTTTCTAGCTGAACTATAATAGGCTCCAGGGCTGTGATTTGGTGGCCGCGTAATGCATGGATCCCACTAGCAGGGTGCCCCATACAGACTGTTCTTGTCTTCAGACCCAAGACCTGATTCTCTGTATTCGCCCCATCAGGTTTCCCATGAACAGGGCGATTTGTTTCAAAACTGGCACCAGTCCGTCACTCAAGGGAGGCCCCTCCCTCCCCTGCTCCAGCAGCCCTTGTAGAGATGCCTGACGGCTGCCTTTGTGTCCCCCCCCCCCTGCTGTGCCTCCTTCTCCAGCTCTTTCATTAGGCGAAAGGCGAACCTGTGCAATGAGATGAGGGAGCTGTTTTACGATGTGACCCAGGAATCGGCTTTCAGGCTGCACGACCAGCTGGACATTCTGGAGAGGTACGCGCTTCACACTGTCTTCCGCTTCAAGACCCGTTTGCCCCTCAGATTTATCACAGCCCTCCAGCGTCCTTCTCCTACTGCAAGGGACACTTTCCAGAAAGTGCCAGCCATTTGTGTGGCCGTTCTGCCCATTATAACAACACAAAGCTTCCTTTTGTCAAATGAGCCTTGCCGCCCCACTGCACCCAGCCATCCACCCACAAACGGACTCAGGCTGCTTCCATGCGGCAGTGAGCCTCCGTGAGGCTCACATGGCCGCAAATGCAGCAGAGCTCTCAGTGGCAGTTTTCCCAACACTTCCGTTGCCTCAGCCATCTGTGCCTGCCATTTCCCCCCTTGATATAATAGGACTTTTTTAAAAAATAAGGAGTTACTAGATCACTATAGTACAATAATGTTATAATGATCTACTGGCACAATTTACTAACTCCTCTAAATTCCCAGCATTCATTTTAAAAAGTACGCATCTAGCCCCTTTCATTGCAAAGATATAAGAGGAAAGGTAAAGGAGCTGAGGCTAGGAAAGGGGTACCAATGTGGAGTCCCATCAAATATGGGTAGGCTCTTTGACTGTGATCTTTCAAAATAGATTGTTTCAAACATTGGGGACAATGTTGTGTAGATGGTTAAAAAAATAAAAGCCACTCTAGTTTGAATGCTGAAGTGGAACAAAACCCTTGTATGGAAGCTGCTAGATAGTGTGAACGATGCCTTGTCTCCATTAAAATTAGAAATGCTGCAGAACATGGCACTGCTCACAGAACTCAGCTTCCTAAGGATCCCAAGGTCTCTCAGGGCAGCATAGGTACATTTGGAAGGGTGTAGTGATGCCTGGTAAAGTCTTGAAGAGAGGCAGCAAGGTTAGGCAGGCCATGGCTAAATGGGGCAGTGATCTGATTTGCTAGAAGGCAGCTTCATAGGCTTATAAATACTGTTCCCCCACCCTGACCTGGATAGCCCAGGCAAGCCCAATCTTGTCAGATTTTGGAAGCTAAGCAGGGCCGACCCTGGCAAGTATTTGGATGGGAGACCTCCAGAGAATACCAGAACCGGGAGGCAGAGGCTATCAAGGCACTTCTCTGAATGTCCTCCATGCCCCAGTAGGAGTCGCCAGAGGTTACAATGACTTCCAGGCACGGTTAGACACAAACACAAATGCAAAGATACAAAAAACCCCAAAAATCCTGTCCCCCCCATAACCCCAGCCCAGATTTCTAGTCCTTTTGGTTGCAATGCAAATGTGTGCTTGAAAGTGAGTGGGCATTGCTAATAATATCTCAGAAGACCGAAAGGTGGCTGAATAAGGTTTCACATGCTTAAAGGGTGGAGAGTGATAGTTTTCCTTGTTGCAAAATTTGGGTTACATTGATGCAAAAATTTAGATTATTTTTTTTAACACTTGGCCCTGAGTGTGCATTCATTTAACCTCTGAATAGGACATGCCCATTGGGGAAAAGTGGCACTTTTGAACAGTTGACGCCATGGTAATTTTTGCGGGGGATAATTAAGACAGAAAGTAGTTTAACGCTGCTTCTAACCAAGTCAGCTCCCTTCCTTCTCTTTAGAATTCTTTTGAACTCCTATCCAAAAGGAATGCTAGGGCCATTCCTTTTTAAAACCTCGCTTGAAGGTTTATTTTTTTAAAATGCACAAGCTGAATTGGCAGGAGGCGAGAAGAGAAGAGCATACAGAAATATCGGTGTCTGAAGCACATTACAAGGTTGCGGAAAGACCTCGAGCGAATGAGGCAGGCAGTCCGGAAGAATGAACCAAAGCAGGCTGCGGAGGAGGAGAACTGGTAAGGAAGAGCTGCAGTCAGCGCCGTGTCTAGGCCAGGGCTTTGCAGGACAAAGCACAGAAGGAGGTGTTGGCTACTGAATTTCAGCTTTCATTTAGAAAAAGAATTAACACAGGCCTCTAGTTCTTGGGCTTGCAAGGAAAGTTTGAGAGAATGTGGACGTTGCCAGGTGAAATCTCAGAAGTCAAAGGATTTGCTGCATGTGCCTTCTGCTCAGAAGGGGAAGAGGCTCTCCAGCAGAATAAAAAGAGAAATGTAAAAAAAAAAGACCGCAGAACTAACAAGATAAAATAAGAGAGACTATGCAAATGCGGTTGATTTGCAGAGGTTCACCGGCATGGTTTTCACACAGCAACGAATGAGCTTCTTTGTTGCCACTGTGAACGCCTCATTTGCAGCAGCGGTGGAGAATCCACAGGAAAGTTTTCTCACCACATTCCCTGCCAGAGCCCCTCTCTCCCTATGGCTGTTGTCCTTCTCCCTTCCTCCAAGCCACTGGAGGGCTTTTTCAGCCTTTTGGAAAAAATCAGTAATTGCCAGCTCTCTATAGAATTATAATCTGTCGCTGCAATCTACTCATTCCTCTGAATTAACCAGCTTTCAAATTTTTTATAAAAGTTGCTAGCCCATTTGTTGCACACTTTTCTCCTTATACATCTTTATTTTATTTTATTAGATTTATATACCACCCTCCCCAATGGGCTCAGGGCGGTGTACAGCAGTTAAATATACAATGAAAACAGTTTTAAAATAACAGTTTATACTACAACAAACAGGACTAGAACCATCCTTTTTTAAAAAAACTCAGCGACAGCCCTGACCTGGATAGCCCAGGCAAGCCGGATTTCATCAGATCTTGGAAGCTAAGCAGGGTCAACTCTGGCAAGGTCTTGGATGGGAGACCTCCTTGAAGTACCAGAGGCGGGGGCAGGCTTTGTTCAGCCATCTCTCTGAATATCCTCCAGGCCCCCAGTAGGGGTCGGTCACCAGAGGTCGCCTGGTGCACACATACTCATATGCACACACACACACACAGGCACATATGAAAAATACAAAAAAAAAAAAAGCTGGAGATTCAGAGGAATCAGTAGATTGTGGCAATTTATTTAACTTCATTTATATCACTCGTTTCTCGCCAGTGGGGTCCCAGCGTGGCTTCCCCTCTTCTCCTCTCCTCCATCTTACCCTGTGAGGTAACGTTACCCACAGGGGTCATTTCGTAGAAAAAGAGGTGCAGGAGCTCATTAGCATAACTCATTAGCATAACTTATTTGCATATGCCACACCCCCTGACATCACCGGAAGTGTGTCAGAAGGCAACACCCACCGCTCAGGCTCCACTGGACTCTTTTGGATTGCTAGCTATTGGGGGGGGGGGGACGTGCAGATCTGTCCTGGCAGAGGAGGGAGAGCTTGTACCTGAATAAAACTTGGTCTTAAGGGTGCCACTGGACTGTTTTGGACCGGGGGGCGGGGGGGGCTCTGCAGCTTACCTGGCTGCTTCTTGCTCTGACTGAGGGCTGCTGGGAGCAGGGGTCGGGGCTTGTTGCATGTGCCCGCCCCCTGGGCTCTTTACTGCCGGAGCTCCGCTCCGGCAGGAAATGACCCTTGGTTACCCAGCAAATGTCCATGTCAGAATGGGATTTGAACCTGGGCCTCCCAGATCCTAGTCCAGCCCTCTAACCCTTGCTCCACACTGGCTTGTTAAAACGTTATAAAGCAGCTACTGATTAAAAGAAAGTGTTAAAACTAGCCGGAGGGGGGGCACAGCAGGGGAAACAGAATCTCTGAGTGGCTGACGGAAGGGAGATGGCAGTGATGCGGCAGAACCTTGGATTATGCACACCTTCTTGTCTAGACCACTTGATAATGCCTTTGGATTGTGCTGTTCCCCAATTTTTTTTAAAAAAAGAGCAGGCTTGGGAAAGTGTATCACAAGGCCGGGCAAAGGACAATGGGACCCTGACATGGTGTGGCTGCTCTACTCCCACCTCAGAGAACAGACCCAAAAAAGCTTCTCGTGAAAGAAGTCCAGGCTACCAAAACTTCTGTACCGAGAAAAGTGAAACCCTTTCCCTCCAAAGCCTTGGGCTCACCTATGGCTCCTGAGACTTCCCGTGAAGCAATTCTGTCTATGCCAGGTCTTCTGTGTCATGTGCACGCTCGGGAAAGGCTTTGGACCCTCCGCATGTACAGAATCCCAAAGTGCCAAGAGTCTCAGATCTGGTCTACACTTGCCACAAACTGGGATGGTGGCTGTACCCCTTTGGACTGTGGTGGTGGAGGGAGAGACATACTGAAATGTTCCACTATGTAATGAGAGCGGGAGAAAGTAGAACAACACAGGAGGCAGAGACCTTAGCCAAGACCCTTTCTTCTTGCTGTACTAGTTAGGTTTTACATGTGGTTGCCAATATCCAGGTGGGGCCTGGAGTTCTCCTGAAATTACAGCTGATCTCCGGACGATAGAGATCCGTTCCCAAGGAGGAAATATGCCACTGAGGTCCCTCACCTCCCCAAACCCCACCCTCCACTCCCAAATCTCCAGGAATTTTGCAACCTGGAGTTGGCAACCCTGGTTTTACATGGAGGTGCATTAAAAATGATAACCCCCCTCATCAGTCATCTGGTGTTGCTTCAAGGTTTGTTACTCTTCTGGACAAGATCCCTGATGATGTCATGGAAGACCATCGGACCCAAAAAGTCCTGAGGAAACTGGAAAAGTTTGCCAGAAATCCGGACTTACGAATCCGACCCCCCACGTTCTTGAAAGTCTTGGGGGAACTACGTGTTTGGGAAATCTGTTCTCCAGACATCAGTGCAGCTTTACAGGTAAGAGCCTTGCAAGGAAATTGTTTGCCTCTCGTTCAGCCTTCAGTGATCACTGGCAGTCTTTAAGCAGCGTCTGGACAAACACTCGTCAGGGATGCTCTAGGCTGATCCTGCATTGAGCAGTGGGTTGGACTAGATGGTCTGTACGGCCCCTTCCAACTCTGTGATTCTAAGGCCAGGCACTGTTTCTTAAGACCCCCAAATAAAACACCCATAAATATTGACATTAGGGTCTGCTGCCCAGATCTTTGGCTCCATGGAAGGCATTATGTTTGGGCCTTGGCATCTGTCTGTAAGAACACATTATGCACTGCTTGGCACTGGCATAGTGCTTTAGAGTGTTCAAAGCTCTTCACAAATGTGATCTGAGCAACCTGCGTCTGAATTCTAGTGCAACACTATCATGAAGTTCACTGGGCACTAATCACTGTCTCACCATAGCCTGCTTCAGGGGGCTGTTGTGAGGATAAAGGAAGTCAGGAGAGAACCATTATTGGACGTAGTACTGAACTCAACTGCATGCCCAGGAAGACACCCTTCGGTTCCTGCCCACCCCCCAAGTTGGCCATGGAGCACATCTGTGCTGCAACCTTGTTGTTGTTCAGTCGCACAGTCGAGTCCGACTCTTCGCGACCTAGTAGTTCTTTATTGCAACCTAGTAGTTCTTTATTGCCCTATCACTCCTACTACATAGCTAGAAGTCTTGTGAAACAATCACATTGCACCAGCAACGGGACTAGAAAACCCAGTTCATGGATTGTATGAATGACTGACGCAGAAGAGGCTTGGATCCCCCAAGCCTCAGTTAAGTATCATTGCAAATCTAGAGGAAGACCAGGTGATGAGTCTTGCCGCCATGAAGGCCATCCAAACCCACAAAAAAGCAGTGGAACAGAAAGCTGATCCCCTTGAAATCTGACAGGGGTTGATAACCTCCCTTTGAGAAGCAAACTTGTGTGTTTTTTTTCTCTTTACCCCTTTCAGGTTTGCATATATAGAGAGCAGTTGGGGAGGCACGTCCAAGCACTGCCCCCCCCCAAAAGCACTCTGGGGAGGTTTATTTCCTTATTTCCTTTATTTATACTTACCTTTCTTCCCAATGGGGCCCGAAAGCAGCTGACATAGTTCCCCTCTCCTCTGTTTTAGCCTCACAACAGCCCTGTGAGGTAGTTTGAGAATAGTGTGTAAATGACTGGCGGTCCCCCAGTAGGAATCAAATGTGGGTTTCCAGATCCTAGGCCGAGGTGCTAGCCACTACTCCACTCCAGCTCTTCCACTGCAGAATAGTTGCAGTGCAGCAACTTCAGCACTAACTGACATTGTTTTGGAGGCTGCACTCTTAATATACACACCCCCTTCTGCTGTAAAAATTAAAAAATTTCCCCTCCCCCATGGCTTTTGCAGTTTTTGCGGGAAAATATTGTGGGGATGCCTGAGGAGGATTACAGACAGTGGCTGCAGAGTCGAGTTCCAATCCAGAAACGAGCCCGTAGTGCCCCACCGCTATGATCTCAGAGGTACACCGGGATAGCTACATTATTGGAAGAGGTGACGCACTCGCTGTTCAAGAGCTGCAACAGAAGAGCACAGGGCAGCCACTGAGACGGCAGGCTCTGAAAAATGCATTTGCCTGCTCCTGGGAGATGGGGGAGGGGGGGACAGTATCTGAGTGCGGGAGCTGCTCATTCTCTAAGGTTGAGAATTGCATGGAGCCCACACCACCTGCAAATTCAGAACCAGAGAGAATTGAACGGCCAAGGCCCATTTCAACTTCATGCTTTGGATTTTTAGATACTATGTTTTCGTTTCAAGTTGTTCTACATTTAATTCTTCTAGCTTTGGGGGAGGGAGTGGGAGTGAAAGGGGAGTGATCTTATGGAGTCCTCTCTGCAACAGTTTGGGGTCAACGACACAAACCAGTTGATAGTTTGCTCCATTGTAAAGATAGACTTTGGCACAGCAGAATTTTTGCATCTGTGCTGCATATTTTTCAGATTTATTAAAACTCTGCTTAAACATGTGTTCTTGCAAACTTAATGTAATTAGCGTTCTGTAGCTTCCAGTTGAGGATTCATTGGCCTTCCAGTGTTCACTATCTTTCCCCCATCGCTGCCACCCGATAGAGGTTACAGCTAAATAACCAGTTGCAGAACTGTTTCAAACAAGAAAAACCTGGGCTCCTACTAGTGGTCTACGGGGATAAAAACACTTGGAGACAATTCCAGCTGCCTGTCTTATGACAGCTAGAACCAGATCTAGAGCTCAGTGAGATAGTAACCATGTACCTGAGCTTGAACCATTGGTGTGTGTCTTCATACAAAAAAGTTTTTCCTGCACCCAGAAAAATAGCATGTCAGAGAATGTTCTAGCCTAGATTTTTATGTGCAGGGAATCTTTGTTGCGTGTATGGAGATACATTCAGTCATGTGAACTCTCACTTTACTGCCTTAGTGAGAGCCAAATTACACCTGTCACTGTTCTATGGTTCAAGCACTAGATGTGTTATTTGAACCCCCAAACAAGCCATGGGAGTGGGGTCACAGCAAACTGCAGCATCCAGGTGGCTCAGGTATTCCTACTCGCCCCCTCCCCCACAACATCTTCTCTGGCTTGAGGCCAGCTTGGGTTTCAGACTTCAGTTTGGCGATGCCGTGGTGCACAAGGGCCTATTTGTCATGCAGTGCTAAAAGGGTCGGGGGAATTGCTATGGGGGGGGGGTGTTGAGCTGCTGGTGTGCCTGCGTAAGGGAGAAGCCTGAAGGTGGGCGTGGTTTATCTTTTTCAAGATAAAAATCTCCTTTCTGACCCTGAGACTTGGAGAATATCACCACTAGTGAACTGTAGCATCTTAAGTACTCATGGAATGAAGAGTTTGTTCCTTTTGCCCATCAACTTCTTTGGCAGCTCCTAAATTCCTGTATCGCAGGAAAATAAGGGGATGTTCCCTAATGGCTTTCTCCCACCTGTGCATATTTTTTTAAAAGCCTCTCTCACATTTCCCCTTTGTTGTCTTTTTCCTAAACGGCAGAGCCCCAGACTCTTTCGCCTTTTTGCACAGGAAAGGTACACCAAGCCCTTCATCACCCTGGTTTCCCGCCTCCGAACTCTTTTCCACCTCTGCAATACCTGTTTTGAGATATGGGGACCAGACCTTGTAGAAAGTATTCCAAATAAGGCTACACCATAAATCTCTGCGGGGTCATTACAACACTGGCCATTTTATTTTCAGTCCTTTTCCTAATGATCCCCAGCATGGAGTTTGCCCTTTTCACTGCTGTGGCACAACGAATTGACATTTTTATCGAGCTATCCACTACAACCCGAAAGAGCTCTCTACTTCTCTGTGTTGGCCAGTTCAAACCCCTATCAGCATATACTTAAAGTTAAGATTTTTTTAAAAATTGCTCCAGTGTGCATCACCTCACACTTCACTTGCCTCAGGGTGTCCGAGTGTCACTAGAAAGGAGAAAATTAGAGAACTTCTCTCAGGAGATTACGGCTGCATTAAACAGTGTCAATCAAAGGTATTCAGAGAATTACACGTTTCTAGGAGCTCAGTAGCCAGAAGGTCACACACTGAACAGCGTCATAGATCACAGGGTGAGGGTGCTGAACAGCCTCTTAGATCAGAGCAAGTCCCAATCTAATTAAAATCTTGTAGAGGTCAGTGCTGAATATGGTGTAATTATCAAGAAAAGGGGAGTGCCTCCTGACCTCAGATGCACACCACTGAATTCTAGCAGTTGTTAAGTGAAGCGACCTTATTCCATTTTGTAAAAGGGGAAAAAAACTTTGCCACCAAGGTTCAGTTCAAAGCGTTTTATTAATTAAACTGCCATTGAAACAGCCTGCTTTCCACCTCCCTCTAATGCTAAGGCTCTTCAAATAGTTTCACTTACAGCGTTCAAGACCGTAAGAGTTAGCAAATCAGCAGTACATCAAAACACCGCCGCTTGGCTTTCTGTGAGTTCTAATCCTCATGGAGACACACACACACACACGTCGAGTGGAAATGGCTCCTGTAACACATGGGAGGAAATTCACCGCAGCAGCAGCAGCAGCTACCAAACATTTATCACCAACTGATAGGATTCTCTGTCTTTGCTCTGCATTCTGTATTCCAAAACAAAGGGGGAGAAGGGGCAAATTCTGAATTTACTTTTTGAAAACTAACAGAACTTTAAGTAAGGCTATTCTGGTATATTTCTTGTATTAAAATACTCTGGAAGCCCTTTTCGTCAGCTTCCATCAGAATTAGCATTTTCAAAAATGAAAACATTTCCATTGGCTTCGGGTTGAAATGCTGATGCGGTGATGTGCCCCCAGGGGCCACCTTTCCCTTCTGCATCTCCCAAATCACGTCAGGATAGTGTCATCAATCTGTTCGACAGAGTCAGCTTGACTGGCGAGCTTCTTCAGAGATCGCCGGCAACTCTCGTTCAGCAGTTCCAAGCTGGCAGCGTCTAGGATCTTGGAGATGGACTGCAAGGAGTAATATCAAAGGAAGAAGGTGTGAGAGGAGAAGTTGTCACTGCTTTCTATTACTCAGTGTTAGCTGCTATGTTCGATCAGACAGATGACCCATCTGATTCAGCTCTCTGCCTAAGAGCAGCTAGCCACACACTGCATGGATTTCCCAGGCAGGGCATGTTGGCCAAATCCAGTCCCTTATGCGAGGGTCCACTTTTCTGACCATGTGATGCCAGGACTCAACCCCTGACCTGGCTTACCTGTTCTCCCACTGCTTTCTCTTGCTTTTCATCTCACCTCCCCAATCTCTCTGCCCTCATATCCTGTTCTTTTCCTACCTTCACTCCTCCAGCTTCCAGCCACCTGGGAGTCTCTTGCGCTCTTAAATGAACTCTACCCATTCTCCCCTTATGATGACACTTATGTCCTTCTCTTCCTACTTTGAACCACCACATAGGCAATGAAGCCTTTGAAATTTTCCCCAGGCAAACACAGGCTTTAATTAATTCATCCCTTGTTACCTTGGTGCTCCACCCTCCCTCAATAGAAAGGAACATAAGAGATGCCAATGTTGGATCAGGCCAAAGGCCCATCCAGTCCAACACTCTGTATCACACAGTGGCCAGAAATACCAGTGCCATCAGGAGGTCCACCAGTGGGGCCAGGACATTAGAAGCCCTCCCACTGTTGACCCCCCCCCAAGCACCAAGAAGACAGAGCATCACTTGCCCCAGAGCCCCTATCTATACCTTGTGGCTAATAGCCACTGATGGACCTCTGCTCCATATGCCTATCTAATTCCCTTTTGAAGCTTATCTAATTCCCTTTTGAACAACTGCTGGTGCCCAACCACACTAGGGACATTGGGAGGGCAGCGGCCACCACTGCCCACAGCAGTTCCTAGTACCTGCAAGAACACATTGACTTCCAAGTCAATCTGTCCAACCAGTAGTGCCTGCCTCAGTGGTTCTCAGACTCTGGGTCAGGAGCCAGAATTGGGTCACGGCTCTTGCATGTGGTCTCTGAGGGCCCAGGCAGCAACAGTGCCTGCAAGAACACATTAATCTCCACTACAACCAAGTCAATCTGTCCAACCAGTAGTGCCCGCCTCAGTGGTTCTCAGACTCTGGGTCAGGAGCCAGAATTGGGTCACGGCTCTTGCATGTGGTCTCTGAGGGCCCAGGCAGCAGGTAGAACGGAGTGGGCTGGGACAGGAGAGTTCGGGAGACTCTTCAAAAGCAAGCTTGGGCTTACCTCTGTATAATGACCATAAAAAACCCTGTGCTTCCTGTGCTCCGACACTCCACAAGGAGAGGAAAAGGTGATTGCCATTTTGGGCTCAGGAAGCAATTGTTCTCCAGGCCAGTTTTGCCAGGGATCCTGGAGGGTTTGGGTGGGGGGTTGCCCTCTTCTGGGCATAGAGCAGGGGTCACTGTGGGTGGGGGATGGGTATTTGTACATTTCCTGCATTGTACAGGGGGTCTGGAGGTCCCTTCCAACTCTATAATTCTATAAATGACCATAAAAGACAGCCGGCCGTTCAGAAATGAGGGCAAGAACAGTTACTTTGAAGTGGCCCCCCAAAAGTGCAGTACACTCAAAAATGAGTTCCACTTCAACAAGTCTCAGAACCAGAGGACTACCCTGACAAGCAGTGGCCAAACAGAACCCAATAAGTGTCCTACTCATGTTGCAACCCCCCCTTCCAAACACACATATACTCCTCCTGCCATATGAAACATGGTCATTCTATCCTATCCCAACACATAACCTGAGGATGGTCCCTCTGGGCTCTTCCAATATGTTACACCCACCCTCCGTGCCTTCTAGCACTGGAGTAAGTGGTGGGCAAGTATGCACCTGCTTCAGCCTCTAAGACGGAGGCAGCAGCAGAAAGCTCCCAGCGCTTTATGACAGCAGAAGACAGGAGCAAATGAAAGGGAAGGCGACTCCCCCGCCCAGAATCCAGAAATACCTGAAGTACTTCCTCGCCTTCTCTCATCTTCAGGAGGTTAACAATGGCTTGGTCACTGTAGGCCCTCACGCTGGTGTTCTTGTCTTTTGTGTTGTCCAGAAGGGCCTTGAGGATAGGCTTAGCAGTCTGTGGGTCCAGGGGAGGGAGGGGGGTTTTATTTGCCCACCAGATCATCTTTTCTGCAACTAATTTTATATCGCTGGATGGATTTTGGAGACACTGTAGGAAACAAAGACACACCTCGGTTTGGATATACAAGTGGCAAGACTTAGATATTGGGGGTGTCAGGGGAGGTGGAGAAGACGTGGATTCTCTTCTGTGAAAACCAGCAGCCTCTCCTCTGGGGCTGTCCATTTTAGGGGACAGACGGGGCAGCTTGCCTGTCAGGAAGGATTGTCCACCACTGGCAGTCCTTTCACTGAAGAACTCTCAGTAAGCTTCCAAGCAAACTCAGTCTACTGTAGCATTCCTGTACTCCAGTTCTCTCTCTCTCTCTCTCTCTCGATCATGCTAATTAGCCATTGTACAGTAGCTTTTGTTTTTGCTTCCAGTTGACAGTATGTAAGCAGCAGGAGACAACAGGTGTCATGCAGGCTGCTGGCTCATGTGGAGCCTCCCTCTCCAAGCATGCACCCCCAAGGAGACACGAATCCCAGCTGACTCCTCCGTGTGAGCAGAAGGGGCAAAAAATGTAGGGAGAAAAAGCAGAAAAGTAGGGAGATGGATGTAGAAAAGAGTCTGTCGTGCCGGCCCAGGATAATACTTGGACTGCTGATCTGGCTTGAAGCTCAGGAGACCTGCAGGCACTCGATTCCCAGCCCAGAGGTGAAGAGTATCCAGGGACTGAGAGCACTACCTCTGCCCCCTTGCCTGGACAGAGAAAGACGCCACACTGTATCTGCCTCCAGAGAAAGGAACAGGAATTGACCCGACTGCTGAGGTTGTCCACTGCAGCAAGAAGAATGACTATGCTGACCAAGAGTCATTTGATTCCATCTTACAATAACGGGGCATGCTCAGGTGGTTTTGTTTGGGGAGTCCTCACGAGTGTGAGTGCTTCAACCCAGATAGGTCCCCGAGCTGTCCATGTGATAGAATGACCCGTCCTCTGTGGATATTTGAAGCTTCTATGAGGCTCTCCTGAATGACCCCTCTGCATATTTGAAGCTTCTATGAGGCTCTCCTGTCTGAGAGAGAACCTGTGCTTCCTGTGCCCCGACACTCCACAAGGATAGACTCCAAGTTACAGAAGTTGCACACTCACACCCATGTACCCTTGGGATGTTTATCAGAAAACAGCTGTCTGGTCACCAGTCAGTCAATTGGCTGTGGAAACCAGAAATCCCACATCCAAAACACTTACCTTGATGAAGAGGCTGGAGAGTTTGGGTGGCAAGTTTCCTGCACTGGCCTCTATGTGGTGCTTCATGAGGAAGCCCATCCCTCTGACGCCGCTGATAGCAATTGGGATCTACAGTGTCAGGAGGAAAGCGAGAAAGTGAACTGTGGGATCACCTGTAGCAGGCTCTCCTGAGCAGATCCCAGTAGCATGCTGCCATTTAGAGATGTGTTCAAACACTGCTCTCAAAATGTGGTCTGGTTCACACATCCTTGGCTTTCACCCAGGTACCTCATTTACTGCTCGAAGCTGAATACATTACATTGTTTATTTACAACAGGGACTCAAGGCAAATTAGACACAGTGAGTCAGTACAATCAAGAAAATACGCGACTTCCCTCCCTTTGTGAGTACTCTACCTAAGACAATAAGTGATAATGAAGGCTGCATCTTTGGTGGCTCTTTTGCACGTGCAGGAAATAAATGAACGCACATGTGTGAACTCACTCACTCTCCCCTCAAATAACTTTTAGTGCTTGCTTAAGAAATAATTCAAAGCCAATTCCCTTGACAGTTACATTCAGTACTGTAAGAACAAAGTCTGAGTCCAGGGGCACCTTGAAGACCAACAAAGTTGTATTCAAGGCAGGCGCTTTCGTTCTGCTGCTTCAGACCAACACCGCTACCCACCACAATCTATCTTTCAGTACTACGTTAAAAGTACTGGGGGACAACAGGCAAACTGGGGTCCTGCTCTGGAGCCCCTCGATCCGCACCTCACTCTAAGATTCCATTGCCTCCACTCTTTCCTTTGATCTGCTGCTTCTGTACGGAGAGGCCACAGAAGAATCTGTCAAGCTGAACTTTGTCTCTTGGAGCCTGAGGCAACTGAAGCATGTATTCCTTGAGCCTGGGGGACTTGCCCAGGCAAAGTCTGAGCACTGATCAACCCAGTCAGAAGAATAACATGCACCATGCTCCCAGGAACACTCTTGACTGCAAACTAGGGGGTGGGGTGGTTGTATCGTTCAGTGCATCTCCAAGTCAAACCTCCCCACATGCCAAAAATCAGGGGGTTCTAGCTTAGTACTCTCTCCAATGTCCTAGACTCTCTACATTCAGTGAGATATTTTTTAAATGTCCAGGAACATTCAAACATGCAACTCCTGGCTTCATTTGGAAGCAGCACACTTCTAAGGAACCGAGTTGTATGGTTTTGCTTACTTATTGTGTTACTTGCCTCTGAGGAAACCCAACTGGAAGCATTACAAGGAGTCCCTAAGAAAAATCTCTCACAGCCACCAAGGACGGAGATGCTTACCCGGTCGGCAGTGGCGTTGCTGAAGATCATTTCATGGACACTGTTAAAGTATTTGGGGTCACACACTTTGCCAGGAGCCACACTGACGGCCACAGAAAGCGCCAGGCTGCGCCCGTGCCTCACCATCCAGTCGATGCCAGAGACATCAGCTGCAAAGGAAGAACGAGATCCTCAGTGCAGCACCAGCTCAGAAAGGGACCCCTCCCTCTGCAGTCTCCATTCAGATCTCTCAAATATCAATTTAACTGGACTCGGGGGTGGGGCTTCAATGGGAGGAGGCTAATTTATGTGTAACACGTCAACCCCACCTTTCCCACCATGTGTAAAATCCTGCAAATTTAAGCACCAACTAGACCAATCAAAAAAAGCCAGCCTCTGACATACTGGCAAATTTGATGTCCGCTGTCATAGTGGACACACAGAATACCCTGCCCAGGATTAATCATAATCTTTCCCCTCTCTTGGGGATCCTTGTTCACCATCTGCCAAAGCATACCTAATAAATGGTTGAGGAGAACGTGGCTAAGTTCTTCTTCGGTCAGAAAGGCACACAGCTCCCCCAGGCAGCCGGCTGAGGCCGTGCGGGTGGCATCCTGATAAGGAAAGGAAATGGAACCTTTGAGAGTGAAGGCTGGCACCAAGATCACACAGCTGGTTCACACACGTGCAAACAATGCTGGTTTCTCTAGTCTCCACTAAGGGACACTTGACGGCCAAATCTTTCATCGAGGAAATAAAAACCCTGCCTCCTACTGGATGAAGAGACTGCCCCACCGTCTTTGTCCCTGGACCATGGCAAGTAAAAGAAATTCTACCTGGCATCAGTTCTGCAAGGGCTCATTTGCACATGTTCATCATCAAGGGATGAACGCGCCTGCACAGACCAGCCCAAAGTTGAGAGAACAAGTAAGAAAAAAAATGCTCTTTTAGCTTGGAGGCCTGAAAGCCAAACTCTGTACTGATGGCTTTTATCTGGCAGAGGTTATAAAGCTGCCTACAACAGGCAAAAAATTGCCTTGTAGGACTGCATGTCTCTGGATAACTTTAAAACCTGAGCACAGAGCAACAGGAAAAGCCCCCAAGCTAACGCCCTCCACACTAATTTCTCTATCACTGACCACACTTTTTGCAAAAGTAGAGTCGTGCATACCCTTTCTGAACACAACAAGAGGAGGGCTCCTTGGGACTTTTGGTATCTCACGGGGCCTCTGCTGGAAAGGCCATACTGAGGCTGTCTTGAACCCTGCTGATACCACAACGCAAAGTCCCCGTTCAGTTATCTTACCAGTACTTATAATAGGGCCCATTAAAATGCTCTTATTTAGGCATTCATAAAATTCATCTGGGATTGGTCTTCATGCACCTTCAATAAATTTTGGCCATATGTGCAACACAGTGTACTGGCTGATGTAAGCTAAGACTAGGGAGACCCCTGGGTTGCTCAACCATCAAGGTCATGGAGGGCTGGGCACTCACTCTCAAGCCTTACCTCCCTCACAAGATCACTGTGAGAATGGAGTGTGTGTGTGGGATGTCTTGTGCTACCCAGGGAAGACGGATGAGATAAATAAAAAAATATATAATTAAATATTGTTGTAAGTATTTTACTTATTTATTTATACCCCGCCCTACCACAAAAGAATGGGCTCAAGGTGGCTAAACACAACATTTATTTAAAACAGTCATAAGACCAGCACAATAAACCGAAGTAGTACAACACAGAGTCTATGACATAGGCTCCTTATAACCATATTTCCTAAAATGTCAAACCAGTCAATACCATCTTTAATGGCTCAAGTTACAGTACATTCTGCGTTTTCTAATTACCAAGTAACAATATTTAGCAACATTGCGTGAGACAGAATCATAAATTATCGGCCAGTAAGAACTTCATCAAGCATTCCTCGGCATATGTAAGGTAGTTAGCCAAGGATTTAAACCGTGAAAGAAGGGGTATCAACAGCTGCTGTCTCTCTATGTCATACATAGGA